AGGCTCCAGACGCCCCAGGGAAGGCCCAGGCGTGGGCGAACATACATACATACATACATACATACATACATACATACATACGTACATGTATATATATATATATATCTACGCAAAAAATGAATACACATTATATATATATATATGTATGTATGTATGTCTGTCTGTCTGTATGTCTGTATGATCTGCATATTTATGATATTAGTCCTGAAGGACCCTTCCAGCAAAAGATGCTGCCTGCTGCGGCTCCGGCTACGGCTGGCTGCGCGTTTTCGGCGCTTCGGGCTCGGGCTCCTGGCATGGGGCTTAGGGTTTAGGCTTTGGGATGCGCGGCCTTCGGGTTTGGAATCGAGGGTTTTGGGGTTTGGGAATCTTACGCTGGTTGGCCTTTAGGGTTTGATTAGGATGTTTTTGGTGCTGAAGGCCGGGGCCCCAATCCAAGGGATTTAAGGTGACTTTTGCTGCAAAGGGCTGCATTTCCACAGGGCTAATACGCCTTCCATCAGAATCTTCTGGATGGGGTTGTAACCCAGAGATCTTGGTAAAGCTTACTGTAGGGTTTGCGGCTTCAGGGCCTGGACTGCAAGGTTTAAGGTTTGGGGTGTTGGGCGTGTGCGTATCCAAACCCGCGGGTCAGGCCGGAACTTTGGGCTCTTGCTGGAGTTCTTCATCATCAGAAGCAACATGGGCCGTAAGCCCTTCTAGCAAAATTCAACATCTAAAGCCGGAGCCTGAAGCCTAACACCTACTACCAAAAACCCATCAAAAAAAACCAAGACCCAAAATCCTAAAGCTCTGTAGGTAGCGCCGCACCTCGGTGCCCGGGCTGTCTTCTCCGGTTTCCTTGGCTTTGGGAGTCTTCAGCAGTCATCTACAGCTTAGGGCCGTCAGGATTTATGGTTCAGGGCTTTAAGGGGCTTTGTGTACTTTGTGGTGGATTTTAGGTTAGGGGTTGAGGATGTTAGGGTTGAGGTGGGCCAACGGTCTTCAGGCTTAAGGTTTCAGGGTCTAGAGTCTAGGATTGAAGGTTCAACATATTCCTACAAATCATCATAACAATAACAGTATATGATGATGATATTTGTATTATCAACACTATAAGGCTTTCGGGTTTTCAGTTGAAGAGGGTGGCCTCAGGGCTTTACGCTGAATGCTTGAGGCTTGGGATGGAGAGTCCCACGACTTTGGTTTGTTCGAGTACGGGGTTAGGGTGTGGGAATCTAGCAGTTCTTGAGGAAGTCAAGGCTTGGAGTAAGAGGCTTCACGATCGGCCTGTGTCGCTTGACCTCGGGGCTTGTGGTATGAGGGTCACGGCATTTGTGTCACATTTCCGCCTGTGAACTGCAACGCCTGGAAGAGCGAGGAGACCCCTAAGACTCTAAACCTCAAAAGCAAAACCCAAAACCGACATCACCGAACCCAAAGCCTGGAACCCAAAGGCCCTAAAATAAGCCACACGGACCAATACAAGGAAGTTGAGATCTTAAGCTGCTCTCAACGGCATCCAAGTTTCAGGTCACGGCTGCTCACTTCCTGGCACGGAAGCCATCAACATGACGGAGTAAAGGGGAGTTTACGGCTTTTGGGCTGTTGGGGGTTTAAGGAAACGGGTTCAGGATTTGCAGTTTAGGGGTGTCGGGGTTTAGGGATTACAGGTTTTGGCTCTATGTTAGGGGTTTAGGGTTCGGGGATGTTCGAAGTGTAGTAACGCACATGTGGTCCAGGGCTTTTGTCTTTTGGGTTTGGGGCTTTGCAATTTGCTGTTCGATCGCGGCCCTATGATCGCTCATCGATGGAAGCTTGAATCTTCAGGGAGTAGGCCCGAAGTAAGCAATCCGAGGTACAATGCAGACTGCGATTTACAGAGGCCTACGTCTCTGCTGTCGGATCTCGGATACAGAGGTTTCGGTGGGCTTAAAAATCGACCACTCGCATGATGTCGCCTCCGAATCAGGAGACTATGCAAGGAACGTCTGCCAAGCTCTAGGAATAACGCCCCTTACGTCTTAAGCTGGACCTGGGCGCTGGCTGCACACACAGATGTAGTCATTTCTGGTAGCTTGCGCGTTGCTGCAAAGTGGGCAGCAGCAGAAGTAGAAGTAGAGGCAGAAGTAGAAGTACGAGTAGTAGGAGTACTAGTAGTGGCAGTAGTAGTAGGAGAAGTAGTAATAAAAGAAAAAGAAGTAATAGTAGTAGTAGTAGTAGTAGTAGAAGTAGTCGTAGTAGTAGCCGTAGTAGTAGTAGTAGTAGTAGTAGTAGTAGTAGTAGTAGTAGTAGCAGTTAGCAGTAGTACTAGTACTAGTACTGGTTGCAAAAGTAGTGGTGGTGATGGTGCTGGTGCTGGCGCTGG